TCGTCTTTGGGTGTAATGCTGATTCAATAGTAGACGTGTCGTGTCGCCGATAATACTGTCTGCCCTTCGCTCCGCCGTGGCCAGGTCGGGCCATGGGGGTGGGGGTGGAGGTCAGAGGCAACTGTTGGCGAGATGGAGGTCCCCGGCGTCGAGACGATGCCACGAGATGAGTATGGGCCAGAAGGGTCCTCGGAGAAGGGTCCTCGGCAATTTTTTTTTTTCTACCTTCGGTCCACGATGACCAGAATTTGTTCCTCGGCAGGTCTAGTGTACTTGTCACTCACTCGCGCTTCCAAGCTACAAGCTCGCTACGTAGGTAGCTAGGTACGGAGCGTAATGAGCATTGACCGCGGAAACACATGGTCAATGCCGCGGGGCCCTTGGACCTGGCGTTCGAGGCGGAAAGCAGCGTTGTCCGTGGTCCATACTCAGTCCATATGCTGAGGTCCGTAAATGGGAAACCCTCGTCTGCGTCTAGGTTTCAGTCGAGTCAAAAGAGGCTGAGAGGTGTGGGTGATCAGTCATCGCCTCCGTTGTCAGCGGACGTGTCAAGCTCGCTTCCCCGACTGATGAGGAAATGCCGTTGTTTGCGTCCATTTTTGATGCCAGCGTCGCACTAACGTCATGGGGTTAAGAAGTGGTGCTAGCGCCCGGCGTCGAGGGCGGATGAGGTTACTCTGTCGGGCCATGATGGACGGCTGCGCAGCGCTAACATCGGTCGCTGCTAGGCCCGAGCTACAGCGCTTGAGGGGAGGGGACAGCAGATCTACGAATGCCACGAACAGAGGGGGCATGAGGTCACCGGGGGGCCATGGCACTTTGTGTTGTCGATGCGATGATGTGTCAGTCGAGATTATAGGCGCATATGTCTTTCTCTGTATGCAGTCATGATGCTGCGTCGCGCAGTTGCCGCCTCTCGTGGCAAAGCAAGTAGACCTTGCAAGGTCTGGCAAGGGCAAGCAGGGTCAGCCAAGAACGCGCCCCTCCCCTCCACCCCTGACGAGCAACCACGAAGGAGGCGGGTACGTGACATGGAAGGTGAGGTGCAGACCAACGGCGGGAAGGATGGAAGGAAGGAATTCGAGCACCGCGCTCGGTCCAGTGCACGGCACGCCTCGCAACGAGTCACCACCAAGCCGCCGACTCAGCCACTGTGGCCTCCCGCCCTCTCAGAAGTTCTGAAGGCGGTTGGCCCAGTACGATTTTGATCCAACAGCGACGACGCCCGGGCCGATCCGGATTGCTGTCGAGGGTCTTCTTGCCTGGGTTGCCCAAGACGGATGTTCCTGCTCTGGCTGTTTCTTGTCGCGTCGTGCCAATCCTACGGGGTTGCTCCTTGCTCCGATCTCATCTGCAACAGCAATTCATGTGTCGTGTTCCCCTGCCCTCGTCCACTCACCCACTCTCTCCTCCACCCAACTCTCCGCCTCCCCTTCCAATCCCCTCCCCTCCCACCTCTCTCGTCCTGCATCGTAGGGCTGGCGGCCGCGAAAGGCCTAGCTCGCTAGGTCGGCACAGTAGGTCGGCATACAGATGGACAACTTCGACATGCTGGCGGCCTCCGTGACGATGCGCCTCAAGACAGTCAGTGACCTCAGCTGACCCAAGAGACCTCCAGCCGAGGCGCCAAACGTCGACATGTCGCCAGCAACACCACGTCACAAGCATCGTCATTCGTGCGCACCATGAATGTTGCCCGCACCGCTTCATTCGCACGAAAGGCCCACCCCACCGTCAACCCCAGGAGACTGCTCCCACTTGTCGGATCCTTCGTCATGAACAAACCTTGAATCCAGCGGCTTACGGCGCCTCTTCCCAACTCGCTACTCATCGGTCCGTCCTCCGTCAACGTCTGCGGGGTTTCCAGTTCTTTGGACGCGACTCGGGCTACGCCGAAGACAACCCTGGTCCCTGACCCCCGGCTCACCCCCCTTTTCAGCCCGTTTCAGCCCTATACCGAGCATCATCACCACCCTTAAACGCCGTCTTCATATCCCACTCTCCTCTGCCACCAATCGACCACCACCACCTCCCATGCAGTCGTTTCTTGAGCGCCTGCTCGATCACCCCTCGCACACCGCTACTCCGAACTCGTCGCGACCTGCCCACGCATTGAGCCACCCCCAACCACCCGAGAAGCCATCATCGATGGACACCGCCCCGCCCAGTCGACGTGGGATGATCGATCACGGGCTTTGACTGGCTGCTGGCAAGTGGCCTCGGTGCCTTCAATTACAGGAGTAAAGGCAATCACTGGTCCCCTCTCGTGCAGGAAAGTATGTCTTCTGGAACACTTCCAGCTTCTGCGCCTCGACGCCTCGAGCATGATGCGTTCCGGCCAATCATGATGTGACACTGCCACCAGCGCTATCACATTGTATGCCCGGCAAGGTGTGCCAGTAAGTTTTTTCAAGTAGGTTCTCATCCTCAGGATCATGAATCTTCCAAGACGGCGAGACAAAGTCGAGTCTTTGCCATGAACGTCTTCTCGGTGCTGGACAGTCCTGTCCTCCGCATCCACCGGGGGTTGTCAGCACTACTCGAACTCTGCAGCTCGATCCTATGCTAGACGAAACAGCGCCCACAGGCTTTGCATACCAAGCGCGCTGGCCCATGTCATATGGCTTGCCTATGCACTGCAACGTTAGGGGGGGGGCTATGATCTTACTGAGACAAAACTGCCGAGCGGGTTCCATCCCCGGCTGGCTGTGCCGACAGTGTTAGTCAACTCGCAAGTATGGCTTCCTCGTGACAACCGGCCTGGCGGGCCTTTGAAGGGATGCATATCGACTTTGACGTGCACCTCAGAAGCCGCGCCTCTGCATATCCCCTTGCCCGCACAATGCTGAGTGGCCGCCACGGACACGCCGCTTCCAAAGTAGCACAGGGTCTCCCCGACCTTACTTGAAAGGGACTTGCGGGCGTCGCTCAACGCATCTCAAATCTGTAGGCAAGAGGTTCCTTATGAACCCAGCTCAAATACTAGCCAACCAAAATTTACCCCCTCCATTTGAATCATTGGCATCGGACCGCGTTATACTTTCATGCCATCATCAACGTCATGTAATTGAGGGCGGCTGTGGCTGTCAAGTTGGTCTAGCGAATGTCCGGTGGCGACAATCGAGGTGATCAAATGCAGAACGCCGTGATCCCATTTCACTTTTTAAAGAGACATTCAATGACAAGCTGCCTCCTGGCTGGATGTTTGCTCTCGCCTGTTCAGATTGGAGTCTTCGGTAACTCGTGATTGATACCTTGCTCGAGGAAAGCAACCAGCCTCAAATGTTAGGGAATTTGGGAGAACCAGTGTTGGTTAATCAATAGTGTCTAGCTGGTCGTTTTAAGTGATATAATCCATGTAGGAGGAGCTTGTACCCAATTGATGCATTCTCAACTGTTAGAGACTTTGGTCCAAAACCACCATACAACAATCGAGGCTCACGTGCTATCGCCAAGCTCTCGCTCTCTTTTTTTCTCTCTCGACTGTGAACGCTGGAACCCCAACGAGTGCCGTGCAATGGCGCAGGATCATGTCCGCAGATTCTAATCGGATACTATTGGTTCGTTGGTCGTGTGAGGCAGCCCGTCGAAGCATTGTGGTGCGCCTCATTTTCTTCGAGCGCGGGGTCATGGTCTTGCTCGCAGCCTTCAGGCATCCCGTCTGTTTGCATTCCAACCCCCTTCAGGATAAATCATCATCACGTTGTGCCTCGCGTCACGATGTCTTTGGAAAAACTCAAACAGAAATTTACGCTGAAAGTTCGGCGGCCAGCTCCGGCTGAGGCCCGAGGTCCCCGAGCCGATGTCTCGCCCCCCGAGCCGGTGCCCGGTGACTCCTCCACTTGCACATCGCTGTCAGCAACCGCTGAAGAAGACGCAGCGCTTCGACTATGGAACTCGGCATATCAAGAGATAAGACAGGATAACGAGCAGCTCACTGAGGCGTACGAGAGAATCCTCACACTGAACATTAATGGTGGGTGCTCCACTTGATTGCCACATGAACTCTGGAGAAAGACGGAGGGCCTGAGTCTATGTGCAGATGGCGTTGGTGCCCTAACAGCAGCCGCGGCGAACATCTTTTCCAATGGCGCCGCAGAAGCACGCATTCAGAGGATGGCTATATCGGTCCAAAAGTCTGTCGAGAAGATCCATGAGCGCCGCAGCATCAGAGGAGGTATCATACAGGCCTCTGCTCTTCTGGTCAAGCTTGAGAAAGTGGGAAAACTCGCATTGACGCCGGTGCCTCCTCCGGCAACAATGGCCTGGTCTGGCATCTGTGCAGCGGTTCAGGTGAGTGTACTCAGTGTCGTTGCGCCGATCTCTGGAAGGGCAGCCCTGAATGGCTGCTGACGTGCGACTTAAAAAGATCCTATCTGGTCCTTTCGAAGCCGAGCAGTCGATGGTCGATGGTCTGGAACATGTCATCGCTAGGATGGACTGGTATGTCGGTCTGTCGAGAATCATCTTCGAAGACGTCGGTCAAGGGCGCCAAAAGCTTGCGCAACTCAATAGTTCGCTCGACAGCCAGGTCAGGACGATATATCGTGCGATTCTCACGTACGAGATGACAGCTGTACTGTACTGCTACAAGGACCATCGGGTATTTGCGTATGCGAAGGTCGTATGGGGTTCCTACGACTGGACCACCCAGCGCAGCAAGCTAGCCAAGCTAGAAGAACGGCTGGATGGCGACATGGCGCACTATTCCAGTCGCGAATCCGTCGCAGCCCTTCGAAGCCTTCTTCACGAGGCATCTGAATCGTCTGGGCTTCTGCGAGAGATAGCCAGCGGAGTTCAGCAGTTGTCGAGCATCCAGCAAGCCCAGCAAGACCAACAAACCCAGCGTGACGCTGAAGAGCGAACAAGGAGACGCGATCTCTTGATTGGAAGGTTCAAGACGATTCCATACGAAGAACGCATGCGGATCAATCCCCTTCGCGTCGCCAATACCTGCGAGTGGTTCTGTAATCATCCCCAGTTCTTGGACTGGCTGGAAAACTCGGAGGGTCTGCTTGTTGTTTCCGCAGACCCCGGTTGCGGCAAGTCGGTACTCTCAAGATACCTGATTGAAGAGTACCTCCCAGCATCCGACCGGACGGCCCAAGCACGCATATGCTATTTCTTCTTCAAGGATACACCCGAGCAGCGCAGCGCAGCCAGCGCAACCTGCTCTCTGCTGCACTGCCTTTTCGTTCGAGAACCGCTACTAGCTGATCATTGCGAGTCCATGATCAACCAGGCAGGGAGTAATCTCACGTCACATCTGGCATCGCTATGGGACGTTCTGGAAAAGGCTCTCAGTCATTCATCCTGTCCTCCGGTAGTCTGTATCTTGGATGCCCTCGACGAGTGTGATTCTGCCGAAACTCGTCAGCTTATCAGTCTTGTGACGCGCTATTCTCGTCGAACGGCCGGAGGACTTGGACAGGGGACTGTCAAGTTCTTAGTTACGACTCGGGGCCTCCCGCCTATTCTCAAGCATCTTGATGTTTCCGGGCAGGGACACATTCACCTCGATGGTGACGGGAAAACAGAAAAGGATTTGATCCAAAAGGAGATCCAACTGGTTGTGGAGCATCGCTTATCTCAACTTGCCGAGAACAAGAGGCTAGATGACGCGAAGAGGAAAATCCTCAAAGATGGCTTCGCGCTCAAGGGTGGGGAGGACAGAACGTATCTCTGGGCCAGTTTGGTGTTTGAGAGTCTCGAGAAGAATAACAACAACACCCAGAAAGGTTGGAGGGACCTTGTTAGCAATCTCCCCAAAACCATACACGGCGCATATGAAAGGTTACTCCGGCAGGTCAGCAATGTTGACGCCAAAAAAGTGGACAGGCTATTCCATCTAATCATTGCAGCACAAAGACCCCTCACGCTTGAGGAGATGGACATTGCGCTTTGTGCCTGGGAAAACGTCCAAGATAAGCTGGGCGCTCTTTCAGAAGATGATTTGGATCTTAACGCGGCCTTTTCTGACTGGATTAGGCAAGCTTGCGGTCTGTTCGTGTCGATCTACGACAATCGACTCTTCTTCATCCATCAGACTGCGAAGGAGTTCCTCTTGGCCGAAGGGGAGGAGGAGCCAGATGTGATTCGGGAACCAGATTGCCCGACTTCGTCATGGCATCGCTGCATTACGATGACTGCAGCTCACCGTATAATGGCCGAAAGTTGCATTGCCTACTTGTCTATGGATTGCTTTCGGAGCGCCCAGTTTCGCAATGAACTGATCGCGATGAAATTCATGGAGGGTAAAAAATACAACAGAGACATCTTGAGGCGGCGCGAAGTACGATCTGTACTAGTCACATTGTGTGACTATGCTGTCTCTTTCTGGGCTCATCACTTCGATCATGCGCAGGTTGCTTCACACGCTGGCATCGAGGATATTTCCGATGGCTTTCAAAGTTCCTGTCTCTCTCTTTTCGGTCAGGACAGCACTGTGTCCTCGCCTTGGGGTATTGCTGCTGCTTCCGATTGTGAGGACATGTCTTGGTCACTGGCGCCGCATGACCACATGGTTCAGCTTGTCAACTGGGATGAACATCGATGTATCGAGGGCCTAACGCCGACAGGTTTACGAGCCGCTCTGGGTCACTTCGGCGCCGTACACGATATCTTGGAAGCGACATGTACCTCAACATCAATGCTGCCATATGAGGGTTCAGATAACCTGGCTCTGCGAAGAAAAAACGGAAAGCAGGCCTCACACAGGCCTCGGTCAAAGCAACACCAACCCCACCCGTCGCGGCTTCCATGTTTGGCTTATCTGCCCATTTTCTTCGCGGTAGCTCTTGAGCGCTACAAGTGCCTGGAATACATACTCGCGACTTGGCGGCAGTCGCAACTCGGCGCACTTGCCCCAGACGGAACACCCTTGTTGTTGTTCGCTGCGAAACACGGTCATTATCGGGTCGTCACTCTATTGCTACAGCATGGCTTTGACTACACCATTCAAGACCAATATGGCGACACCGTAGTGGATGCGTTCAGGTCCTTCTTTGACTCAACGATCCAATTTTTACCAGGTTCAATGAATGCGGAAGACTGCGGAGAGGCTCTTCGCTTGTTGTTGACTGTATCGCAAGCGTCCCAGTGGAAGCCCGATTGGTCGTGCCTTCTAGGGTTCGTACCTTTGAATCCAGAGCCCCGTCTGCGAATGCTCAACGAACGGGTAGGCCAACTGGCACTGGCAATAGAACGTGGCTGTCCAGAAGGGCTCGAAACACTCCGCGAATCACAGGCGTTCACGACAGCTTATGGAGAAAGTCTGGTCAAGGCCCTTGTCGATCGAGGGCATCTGTCGTGCAGTCGACGAGAAGGTCGTTCCGCGCTGCACTAGCTGTCATTTCGTGCTTTCTGACTTTATGTTTCTTCTCGAAACATCCCATCGCAGCA